CATAATTAGAGATAATTATTTATTTTTAACAAAAAAAATTATTATTAAATTATTTAAATTATTGTCACTTTTCTTAAAAATAAAAATTAAAAATTACAACTAAAAATATTTTGTTCATTAGTTGCAATGAAAAAACTCAACGGCATGTGAGTATGTATGTGTGTATATATATATATATATATATTATTCTTTTTCGAAAATGATAGGTGCGCGGACCCTTGCCTCACAAATTTAACGACATTTCTATGTGTATGGGGAAGGTGAGGCCGGTGAGGTAAGATTATGTCCCTTTTAAATTTTAAATGGTATGATATTTTAAATGATCTGATGGGAGACAATTCCCAATTTCTCACTCCCACTTACGTTTTAAAATTAATAATGTGTTATAAATTATTTTATTAAATAAATTCATATATATATATATATGATATTATTCATGTTAATAAAATAAAAATAATTAATTATTAAATGATTTATTATTTATTTTTTAACATTTTAAACAAAAAGTTAAAACTGTGTGACAAATTTTACAAAATATGAGTCATCTATCACGTGATCTCTACATGCACTCCAACGTGGAGGCCACATAATAAATGATTCTTGTTTTATGATAAGTATTAGACCGTCTTGATTTTTTGCAATTCCTATTTTAATTAATAGAATTTATATTATATCACTGTTTTCAAGTCTTAATTCAATAAAATTAATCTATGTATTCATTCCGGAATATTATGAGGAATTTAAAAGCCTAACTTTCGGAAGAAATGAATAACCACACTTATAACGTCGTTGAAATGTGTCTTGAAAATCTGATGAGCAATATTACGAAAGTTAACAGAAGGATAATGCTAATGATAAATGAGATCAAAATTTCATATTAATTGTCTAAGTAATGCCATTTTAAGTATTAAAAATTAACTATATATTATTTAATAATTAACTCATTTTATTTTTTTTAAAAATTTACAAATTATATATATTAACTTATTTAATAATATAATTTATACCACATCATTAACTAACTCTAAATTTTAGTGCTAATTTTTTCTTCAATTATTACTACTCTTAACAAAAGGAAAATTCATAAACACAACAGTGATTAACATATTAATATTTCTTTAAAAAATTTTTTTAAGTTAAATGGTACAATAAAAATATAGTACAACTTAAAAATTTATTAAAATACAATATAATAACTTTAGTATTCAGACTGCAATATAAACATGAATCTCTTGTGGTAAAAATCAGAACGGTAGACATGGTTTCTCAAACTGATGGGAACTTCCTCAACATCTCTCAAGTAAAAGAAGAATAAAAACATCTTGAAAACTTTAGGTACGTAATTGCCCCAATAGCATTAGCAAGCTCATGAAAAGGACAGAATTTTTAGAAAAAATGAATTATTTCCATATTAAAATTGACAGAGTGAAATAATGCATCAATTAAGTGGATGTATATCTAAAAGGATGGAGACTGGATGTTGAAGATGATGAACTGAACAGAAGCCACAAAGTTGACTTCATTGGCCATATTGCAATGGGCATAGCCAGAAGGGCAGACTCAGTTCAAAACAATCACAAGGTTCCATTTCTCCTTCCTCAGCAATGACCTCGAATTCGGACATGAGGACCAGACAACGACATGAACATTGCAGAGTTTGAGGTTTGGTGGTCTGGGGTTCAATAAAATAAGCTTTCTTGTAAGTATTATTGCTTGAATGAATATTACAGAATATATATAGAAATGAAAGAAAAAATATATTTATCCCTTATCAGGTCCTGTAAGTTGGAAGGCACCATCAATGATGCAAGTTTGGACCCAAGAAGAAGAAACTGATTTTTTTGGCAGTGGCTTGCTGAGGGTATTAGCCAAGGTATAGCATGCTGTAGCACAGTATTGCGGCCTCTGTAGACGATCTGGAAACAGATTTGTGGTTAGAGAATATTTCAATGAAACCAAATTGAAACCAAATTGAAACCAAGATACAGGAAACAAAAGCATAGTTTGATGTGTTATGATAGAAATAATCCATGAATACTGCCAAGGAAATAGTGAAGCCTGCCAGGCCTACCAGGATATACCTTAGGTAGAAAATTGGTGAGCCAAATGCAGAAATAAGAAAATCAAATAGCTGTAATAATGATGATGACATTACACCAGGAAGATCAAGTGAGTGTGATCAGGATAATATAGGAATAGACTTCTCTGATTTTGATTGAGAAAATCCAATATGAATTAGCCGGTTCCGTTCCTCCTACCTTAGCTATGACCTGATATTTGGACATGAGAAAGAGACAGCCCTGCTTGGACCGCAAACAATTGACTCCTTTGGCCATACGTGCAGAGCCAGACCTCAGACGCAATCAGATTCTGAAGGGTCTAGAGATTTACAGCCTTAGCAATGACCACGACATGAGAATGAGAGCCATGCCTGGATTGTTCACTCCTTATAACTACAAAAGCAGTTCCACCATATTGCAATCTTCAACCTTCCTTAACTCACATAAACAGAACATTTAGTAGCACTCAAAATGGACTCTCTTATCCTTGCCATAATAGCTTTGGTGATCCCATTTTTAGTCTCAAAACTACTGCAAGTTTTATGGGTTGTTTTCTGGAGGCCATATTCCTTGACTAAAAGATTCAAGAAGCAAGGAATTACTGGTCCACCTTACAGTGTTCTCTCTGGCTCTCTTGATGAGATAAAGAGCATGCAAAAGGATGCAAGGGAAATGATTCTTGACACAGATTCAAATGACATAGTTCAGAAGGTTATTCCTCACTAGTACCAAAAATGGTCCTCAGAATATGGTCAGCTTCTTTCCATCTTTGTCTTTCTACACTTTATGTCAACGTTCTGAATTGATATTCAATTTTGATGTCACAGGAGAGATGTTTCTGTATTGGCATGGAACAGACTTGCATCTTGTCGTTCAAG